GAGCTGAAGGTTGCTGTGAGTTGTGATGCCACCGCACTCTGTCAAGGGCGACAAAGTAAGATTCTGTCTCTTAAAAAAAAAAAAAAATTCCACAGCACACTGAAATTATGTTAATCAAAAAAAAAAAAAGAAAAAAGAAAAGAATACACTTCTTGTGCTCTGAACTTCTTTTGAAAATAATTTAATGAATGATCTTTACAAATTTTTGCAGCATACCTAAGATCCTCTCGGGACACACCAGTTGAAAATCAATGGTCTAGATGGTTTACATGTTATCCCCACAAACAAACTCCTAAGATAGTTTTCATCATCCCTAATGTACAGATTCAGAAAGATTACGTCATTTGCTCAAGATCACAGAGCCAAAAGGAATTTAAACTCAGGTCTAACTTTAGTTACTGGACTCTCGCCACAGGCCTCATCCCCGCATGCTGTGGGTGGTCAATCATCTTTTAACCAGTAGAGTCCTTTCTCCTCTGGAGACGGGGACCTTGTGGAGTCATCTCCATGCCCTCAGAGCCTGCCTTTGTACACAGCAGGTATTTAGTAAATACGGTTCAATGGTCATGAACCTTAAATGGGCATGCAATAATAACTCACCACATTAGTTTTCACCTTGACTGCTCAGCAGAGTCAACAGGGAACTTCTGAACCGCTCACTTGCCCAGGCCTCACCCCTGGGAGATTCTGATTCAGTAGGTCTGGGTGTAGTTCACGGTATCTGAGATTCTGAAAAGCTTGATCAAGATCTAAAACCTTCAACAGCTGTTCCCAGCTCAGCCTTCCTTGCCCTCCAAAGAGCCTCCAGTGACCCCTGTGATGCCAAATGACAATATTCCCAGGGCCCTGTCCTAGAGTCTGAGGAGCCACTTGCTGTGCCTCTGTGGGCCTCGCTGCAGCTGCTCTGGGCACAAGTAGTAGGTCCATCGAAAGGAATTTACAGCAACTTCTGTCTGAAATCTGTATGAACGAATTGCCTTTAGGTAAAGCATTCTCCTGCTCTGACTTAAAGTTCCAGTTTCTGTCCCCAGATCTGCCTGCATCATCTCAGGGGCCACAAACACCTGAAGGTTAGCCAAGGAAGTGATCACCAAAGAAAACCGAAATTTGAGAAGAGAAGATTTTGAGAGACGGGCTTGTGACTGACGTCTCACAAGAGACAGCTGGCGTGGGGAGAGGTTGGGCCCGGTGGAGCCAGGTTCCAAGCCCATCCTAGGAAACTCTCCAGATCCAGGTCCTTAACGCAGTCCGCGTCTCTGCTCCCTTTCTCAGAAGAACTTCTCGTTGGCCCTCTCCTCGAATCAGTCCAAGCTGGTGGGGAAGGGAAAATGGCACTAAATCTGCTCTTAAGGTCACCAGCAACCTCCATGTTGCCAAAGCCCGAGGTTGTGTCTCTTATGTCGTTTCCATCTTTTACCTCTGGACACCTGGGCAGCATCCGACAGAGCTGAGCATCTCTCCCTTCTCGAAAGACTCCTCTACTGGCATCCACACGGCACAGTCTTGATTCCCTTCCTTCCTTCTCAGTCTCTTTCATTAACTCCTCAGCTGGGCCTGGCCCTCTTCATTCCTCTCTCCAAGTGATCTTATCCATTCCCAGGGCTTTAAATACCAGCTAAAGCAACGATACAAAGGTGATTCCGTTCATGGACCACCTGCCTGGGAATCTCTGGGGTGCTGTTTAAATGAGGATTCCCAGAGGCCCTCACATCTTGGTGGCAAACCAGTTGTCAAGGACATTTGTCATTCTGTGCCAGTTTGGCATCCAAACCTCCTTTCTATGTCTGGGGAATTACTTGCTGCCCTAGTCTCGGCAGAGTTCACCTCCTATAAAGCTGAAAAGACCAAATTTATGCTTTCCCACCCTCCCTTGCATCTAGGCTGAACCAATCAGAGGCCTTCCCTGCAGACTCTGAATCAGGAGCAGAGGCAGTGGAAGATCCATTCCAATGCTGGTGGCAACAGCAGAGATGGTGTCCAGGGGACAGTGACACTACAAGCAATGGCATTTAGTGCATGGTAACAGTATCCTGCCCAACTGGCTCAGTGGCATGATTTTGGCTGAGATCTTGCCTGCTGCTGAGCCCCAGTTCACCAGCTTCCCAGAAATTCTGTGAACTACTGACTATTCCCTTTCAGAGAACTACTTTTGTACTTTTCTGCTCAGAGCAGCTCAGGCGGCTTCTGTGGCATGCCATAAAAAGCCTGATGGGAATGATGCCAGGTGATTCTTACACAGATGCAAGTTTGAAACGTACTATCTCAATGCCAAGGACTCTCAAGTGTGTTAAATCCAGCCCACTTTGGTAAGCTCCAAACTCACATACCTATCTGCCTTCTTGACATCCCCACTTGGATGTCTCAAGACCTATAAGATATACAAATGGGATTCTTAATCTTCCCCCAAACACGTCCCCCTCCTACATCTCCCCTTCACCCTTCCATCAGAATTTAGGGACCATTCTTGACCACTCCCCACATGCACCACTCCCGACCCCATCATCGTATCTTGACATTACTATTTATAAAACACTTCTACCATCTTTCCACTTCTCTCCTCCACCAATCACAACCCCATCCACGGCACCATCAGCTCTTCCCTGAACAACCAAAACAGCCTCCTCGGGTCCTCTCCTGCCCTCTCCAATCTTGTCTCTACACAGCAGCTAATATGACCGCTCTAAAATACAGATTATGTTACTTGCCTGCTTAACTAAGTAAAATCCAAACTTGCTACCAGAACCTACAAGCTGGAATATGACCCCAGCCTATCGTCCCAAACTCAGCTCGGGTCACTCTTCCATTTGCCCATCATGATATTTCTGCCCCTTTGGTCTCTTTTTTTGAGACAGGTTCTTGCTTTGTTGCCCAGGCTAGAGTGCAATGGTGTCACTATGACTCCCAGCAGCCTCAAAGTCCTGGGCTCAAGTGATTTTCCTTGAGGATCTGGTTGGTGAAACAGAATAGAGCAGGGATTTTCAACTGGTGTGCCATGAAAAAACATTTAAAGGTCATTAATTTTTTTTTTTTTTTTGAGACAGAGCTTCAAGCTGTCCCCCTGGGTAGAGTGCCCGTGGCATCACAGCTCACAGCAACTTCCAACTCCTGGGCTCAAGTGA